GCAGCCCCTGCTAGCCCAGCCCTGGGCCCCCAGCCCTGCCGGTGCCCCTCACTCCCGACCCGCAGCCCCTGCTAGCCCAGCCCTGGGCCCCCAGCCCTGCCGGTGCCCCTCACTCCTGACCCACAGCCCCTGCTAGCCCGGCCCTGCCCGGCAGCCTGTGTGACGGGCCGTGTCCCCGCAGGGCCATGGAGCTGTCGCTGGCCCAGTGGGCGCTCGCCCTGCTCCTGCTGGCCGTGCCCCTGCTCTACGAGTGCAACGCCACCTTCCGGTACTTCTGCAAGATGGCCTTCTACAACGGCTGGATCCTGACGCTCGCCGTGCTGGTCATCCCGCTCTGCGCCCTGCGGGGCCGCAGCGTGGAGAACATGAAGTGAGTGCGGGCCGGGGGGGCTCTCCGCTGGGGGAGGGGATAGAGCGGGGGGGGGGGCATGTCAAGGTGCCAGGGGGTGGGATACGGCGGGGGCAGGGCTGTAGCCGGGGGGGGAGGGTTGCTGATCCCCAGGCTCTGGTTGTTGGGGGACCCCCCACACTGCCCCCCCAGCGTGTGTCTGCTCCCCTCCCCCCAGGATCATCCGGTTCATGCTGCACCACGTGAAGTACCTGTACGGCATCCGCATCGAGGTGCGCGGCCTGGAGCATTTCAACCTGCCCGAGCCCTACGTCGTCGTCTCCAACCACCAGAGCTCCCTCGACCTGCTGGGTGCGCCACTGGGGGCGGGGCTCCGGGCTGGGGGCGGGGCTTGGGCTGGGGGTGCTGGGGCGGGGCTAGAGGTGGGGGTCTGGGCTGGGGGCGCCGGGCGGGGCTTGGGCTGGGGGCGGGGCTCCGGGCTGGGTGGGGCTGGGGGCGGGGTTCTGGAGGGGGAGCACCCGGCTACTGCAGTCCCTGCTGGGCCCAACAGAGGGCAGAGTGGGGCGGGGCCAGCTGGTGGGGGCGGGGCTCCCAGCCCATTAACCCCTCACTCCCCGCAGGGCTGGTGGAGGGGGGTGGGCGGGGTCCCCAGCCCGTTAACCCCTTGCTCCCCACAGGGATGATGGAGGTGCTGCCCGACCGCTGCGTGCCCATAGCCAAGAAGGAGCTGATGTACATGGGCACCGTGGGGCTGGCCTGCTGGCTCGGCGGCATCATCTTCATCAACCGCAAGAAAACGGACGACGCCATCGGCGTCATGTCGGAGACGGCGCAGACCATGCTGCGCGACAATGTAGGGGGGAGAACGGGGGGTGCACAGCCAGGGGGGAGGCGCATGTGGTGAGGGTGGGGGCAGCTCCATGGGGGTGTCTGTGTGTTTGGGGTGAGGGTGTCTGGGGGGGCTCTATGGGGGGCTGTGTTTGGGGGGGCTCCATGGGGGTGTCTGTGTGGAGGTGGGAGGTATGGGGGACTTCCTGGGGGGATGTGAGGGGACTCGGGGGGGTTGTGCTGCGTGGGTCCCTGCTCTCACCCCACGCTCTCTGGCAGGTCCGGGTCTGGGTGTTCCCCGAAGGAACCAGGAACCACAACGGCTCCATGCTGCCCTTCAAACGCGGGGCCTTCCACCTGGCCGTGCAGGCCCAGGTATGTTCCCCCAACGACCCCCCCCGGGCTCCCCCTCCCGTTCCCACCCCCCCGGGCTCCCCCTCCCGGCTGTGTGGGCCCAGGTAGCAGGTTGATGGCAGGCGGTTACTGGGGAGATTCTCAGCCCCATATTGGCTGGGCTGGGTGCAGTGAGTTACTCGAGGGGGGAGAGGTGATGGGGTCCCCGGGGTGCAGCCTGGGACCGTGGCACCACTGGGCCCTCTTCATTCCCCAGCCTGGGCCGTCTCTTCCAGAGCCAAGCCAGTGACCTGCAGCAAACCCCTCCGGGTGCTGTGATCACTCAGCCCCACGGGGAGCCCCACGCCCGGCTCCAGCCGCTCCCGATTCACACCCAGAGCCAGGCCCCGGCCAGTTCCCCCCAGCCCCGGCCTTGCCCCCCGAGCCTGCCCAGCGTGAGTTCATTACCTGCCCGCCCCCCTTGCTGTGGGAAGGACACGGCCCAGCCTTTGTATGGGAGCCGAGATCCCCGAGCAAACCCCCTGGTCGAGGGACAGCAGAACAGAGGTTTATTAATTGCAAATCCCGGACTCCAGCTCCCCCACTCGCCAGCCCCAGTGACCCCCCCCCATAACTCCCTGCACCCCAACGCTGCCCAGGGCAGCGGGTCTCAGCAGCTCACGGGCGCTGGGTGTGAGACGTGACGGATACGGGGGTACAGGGCACTGCTTGGAGCGACAGGGTAGGATTCTGATCCCCCCTCCCCCCGCAGGTGCCTGTGATCCCCATCGTGATGTCCTCGTACCGCGATTTCTACAGCAAGAAGGAGAGAAGATTCACGACGGGTGAGCGACCCCAGGGGTCAGGGAGGGGCTGGTGGAGGGGGGCTGTGTGTGGGAGGTTGTGGGGCTGTAGGTGGGAGGTCCGGGGAATGGGGGGGCTGTAGGTGGGGAGGGGAAGGGGGATGTTTGGGGGCATTGCTGGGGGCGCTGTAGGTGGGAAAAGGGCTGTGCAGGGGGGTCGGGGAAGAAGGGAGCTGTGGGGGGCCATAGGTGGGGGAAGGGAGCTGTGGGGGGCCGGAGGTTAGAGAAGGGGGGCGTGCGGGGTGGGTCAGGGGGGAAGGGGGCTGTGCGGGGCTGGAGGTTAGAGAAGGGGGCCGTGCGGGGTGGGCCAGGGGAGAAGGGAGCTGTGGGGGGCCGGAGGCGGGGCGGTTCGGCCGCTCCCGCCCCCCTCACGTGCCCCCCTCCCCCGCAGGGCGCTGTCTGATCCAGGTGCTGGCGCCGATGCCCACGCAGGGGCTGGGCCCGGAGGCGGTGCCGGCGCTGACGGAGCGCGTGCGCCAGGCCATGCTCGAGGCCTTCGACAGCCTGTCGGGGGAGCTGAGCCCTGGCCCGGACCCCCCTGCCCCACAGTGACACCCCCGCCAGCCAGCTGGGGCGGAGCCTTTGCCGAGTGGGCGGAGCCAGCACCAGCCACGCCCACCAGGCAGAGCAGCCACGGACCAGATCTACTAACCCAGCATTCCGACACCCCCCTCCCGGTTTAGCCACTTGGTATCTCCCGCTCCCCCACCATCACCTCCCCCCAGTCCTGTCAACATGGACTGATCCACTCCAGTCTGAACCATGGACTGATCCATTCCAGTTTCCTAACGGGGGAAGGAGGATTAAACAATGGACTGATCCATTCCAGCTTGAACCATGGACTGATCCATTCCAATTTCCTAACCGGGGAAGGAGGATTAAATAATGGACCATCCACTCTAGCCTCCTGCTGGGAGGACGAACAGACGCTGTGGACCAACCCATTCCTCCCTCCCACAGGGGGGAACCGGGGAAAAAAAGGACCTCATGGATTGTTCCACTCCAACCTGCCCCAGGAAGAAAGCAAACTGCAGACTGTTCCACTTCAACCTTTGGGGGGAGCAGAGAAAGAAGGCCAGGGACTGTTCCACTCCAACCTCCTGGTAGGGGGAGGGAAGGAAGCTGGACCGGTCCACTCCAACCTCCTGTGGGGGGGGGGAGAAAGCCACAGACCATTCCACTCTACCCTCCTGCTCGGGGGAAGCTGCTGGGGGAAGGAAGCCACAGACCGTTCCACTCCACCCTCCTGCTGGGGGGAAGGAAGCCACAGACCGTTCCACTCCACCCTGCTGGGGGGAGGAAGCCATGGAAGAGACGTTCGTTCCTCCCCCACATGCCCTCTGCCCCCCAGCTGTGGGCGCACCATGGAAAGGAGACCGTGCCAGGGACACGATGGACGGTGCCATGTGGAGCGGGGGGGGGGGAGTGGGACACGAGGGAAAGACAATCCC